TTAGAGACTGCCCCTGCATCGCTTACACATGAGTACTCTTTGCTCAAGTGAGCAGTCTACCTCAGTGGACTACCCAGCAGAGTAAGGAATTACTCTGTAGTGTAAGGGGGGGCGGACGACAAGATCAGCCCTTAAATTTCATATCTGAATTAAGTGTATTTCTGAAGCCAAATAATGAGCTATAGCCAGGGGCAGATTTTGGCTGCTGCTTCAGTGGCATAGGAGAAGGGTCACTTTACCCTGCTCTTCTCCCCCCCCCCCCCCCACACACTGCCAGTACAGACATAGCAGGAGGAGCGGGGAAGGGGAGAATAGCCATAGCACTTGGCTCTATGGAGATTCTGGATTGTGCTACAGTTAATAAACAATCTAGGAAAGGCTGTCATAAGTTGGACCAACCCTGGAAGCTACTCCAATTTATGTCTGGGGCCCCCACAGCAGCCCAGAAGCCAAGTCGTGTAAAGATGGCCTAAAGGCAGCTTTGCCCCACTTCCCCTCGTGTTGGACATTTGGTGCTGCCTCTTTCAGGAGATGCCGCGTGGAATCTGGCCTCAAGAGTTTGTTATTGCGAGCATGCAGAAATAATGAGCAAAATAAAAAAAATAATATTAACAAGTGGAAGGAAAATACTTGATATCCCAAAAACAAATCTCATTGATGTTAAGCTCATTAGAGCGGTAAGGTTCTGAATGCAGAGCAGAATTAACAATACTATAGATATCAAAGGAGAAAAAAAAAAGAAAAATCAGCGAAAGGAAGGGTAAGGCATGGAAATCTGACAAAATAAAGTAAGTGAAAGGGCAAAAGAATTATGAGTGTAAAGAATCTGAAAAAAACAAGAAAAAGATATTTGTAGTAATAATCAAGTTATAAGTGGATTATTAATGTTATAATTGAGGCAATCTTTAAGAATGGCTCGACAGAACATGGAGGCATATTTTCAGCTTCAAAATATATATAAAGAATTGCTAAGAATGGTACTTGTATCCGTGTATATTACAGAGAATAGGGGAATGAAGAGAATGAACTCAGGGGAATAATAATACAATAAGATTTGACAAAAGGAAAGCACAAGAATCAGAGCTATTGAAACGCTGAAAAGTCATCCAATCTGTTCCCCTGCCAATATATACAAATGCACCCCACCAGCTATTTTCTACAGCTTAGTCCAGCATAGCTCTAAGTACAAAATTCAGAAAGAACAGTTAAAATATTAGCTCATTGGCTTATTGCATTCAACTAGTCCAAACAAGAAAGGGGGACGGGAGAGAGTCAGAACAGCTGTATGCTATTTAGAACAGTTTTATCTGGATATTGATATTTCAGAGCCCTGCATATCTGTGTGTGGGAGGATGTAGAAACTGAAAAGGTAAGCGGTAAAATCAGGAACATTGGAATGAAACAAGTTTTAAACTGAACAGAATTAGAATAGGATTCCAGTCTGATAAAGTTACATCTATAGTCGAGGTATATGCCTCAAGCTTCTTTACAAAGTAATGACAGTGTGTTGGCCGCATTGCAGGAGCTCACAGGTTGCCTAAATAGCTGTACATTTAAACATGGCTTCCATCAGTACAGATGGCATTAGAGGTAGTTGGTGTTTGAAAATTCAGAGTCTGAAAAACCTTCTACCTCAAGCATTACCTCTCTCAGAAAAACGACTGTAGAAAGTGTGCTAGAATTCAAGCATTTTACATTATTTCAAATGGGTCATTAAACTACTCATAGTCTTTGAAAACTGCCACCTGACCCTAACAGCTTTAGATTGTGAAGGGATGAAAGGGTCTGTACAAGACAATGTTTGGTTCATTATCTTCCTCCATGTATTACTAGTAGAGAGGTGCAACAGGAAATGCCTGTGTGGTGGCTAAAGAATGAAAAACAGGAACAAACAATACTTCAAACACCAACAAAAAATGGAACATTCTTGTTTTATGTAGTGCACTAGCGTTGGGGACCATGGTGCTAAATTAATGCCTGCTGGTACTGCAGGGATGAATCTGGCCTCCTGAGTCGTGTCAGACTGATTGCCTTTCAGTCAGGAGGCATCAGAGGTAAATCCTCCCAGTAAGAGCTTAATGCCAGACTTTCAAAGGTAGTAGGTGCCGAAAGCCAGCCTGTAGGCGAGGTATGAAAGCAAGAGGTTCCTTGTGCTTCCCTCTCCACCCACTTTTCCCAGGGAAAGACACAATCTGATCCTTAGTTCCTGGGAAATACTAGCTGAAGTAGATCTGTGTTCCTTACAAAAGGTGGCATAGTATGTCCTCAACTTCCACTGAAATTAGAAATGAGGGTTCTTGCAGGAGGTGGTCAGCATTTCGCAAGACCTGGTCCAAGATGACCAAGAGTGAGTATCACTGAAATATGCAAAATTCTGACAGGAACACAGAAGACACTACAGGATACAAGGCTATCTGAGCTAGCAGTCATCTTTATTTGAAGAAGACAGCTCAGTGAATTTACACAAATCTCAGTGTCCATCCCTTTCTTAGGTTACGTTCACTCCTGTTTATATGAACACTTGACACCAGGACAACCAGCATTGCCAAATTCTTTTAGGAAGCTTTGGAACAAACTAGCATGAAAAACAAGGCAGAACAAGTTAAGATAGGCTTCCTTCATTCCTTCTCAAATCCCTAAAATTTCTTATATTGCTAATGGCGCAGCGTTGTAAAGTTATTGATGCCATTCATAAAAAGCAACCGGGTGTGGTGGATTTTCCATCATTAAAAAAAAGTTTTAAATCGAGATTGGATGTTTTTCCAAAAGATGTGTTCTAGTTCAAACAGCAATTACTTCAGGGACAGTCTGTAGCCTGTGTGAAACAGGAGGTCAGATAACATGATCACAATGTTCCTTTCTAGCCTTTCAAACTATAGTGTCCATTACAATGTATAACGTAACTTTTAAATTCAGTTGCCTTTCATTACCATGCTCACCTTCCTGGGGCTTCTTTCTATCTCATTCAAAATGTTGAATTTTCTTACTAATTAACTGGCAATTTTATATAGTTAGTGATTGACTGATCCAGTAACTGCCACCCACCATTCTATGAAACTGAGTTAGGGTGATTCCTTTCAGTGCTTGTACCTAGGATCTAAAAGTGTGGATGAATAGCAGCTAGAGTTATTCTGGGTATGTCCTTCAGGGTATATATACCCTGTATGTACTGAAACAAACTACTATAGTCATAGCCCAGAGATGTGGATCTGAATTTGTCAGTGCGAAAAAGGTAAGCTTCTGCTGTTCTTCGCTGTGCCATGCAGTGGATTATGGATTCAGTTGGAAGAGTAGCCACAATGTTTCAAATAATTATGTCTTTATTCTTTCAAGTTTATCTGCAAATAAATATGACCTTCTCACCTACAAGTCTCTCCCTTTTTCCCCTATTTCTTGATTTTTTTAAATATTCTCTAATAGAAATTTGTGTAATCTTCAGAAAATGAGGGGCCCTGCATCTTTATTTATGACAGTGTGAATCAACCTCTGTGTGATAGCAGGCAACAGTTGCTCAATTAATTACACATGCTTGGTGATTTGCATAACAACCACCACTGCAGCATCACATGTTAGTTGAAGGACTGCAAATTATTGCAGTTATGAGAATTTGGAGATGGAATAAGGGGTAATGTTCCCCAGAACACCCCTATTCTCTCTCCTTCCACCTTTGCTTGGTGTACTGCACTCCTACCAGACAGTCAGAGCATCTTTAAAGCACTAAGCAAAGTATAGAAGGATTTCCCCCCCCTACCCCCCCAAATAAGACTGGCATGGAAATACACAGAAAACATTGTCTTCTGCCTAAAGTCCAGAAAACTGCACAAAGGAATAGGCCTAAGCCATTGATAAAGTCAGTATTTTCAGACCAGATGCTTAGGCTGCTGTTCTAAATTTAGGCATTTAAATAACAGCAGATGATTTTTCAGAGGTGCTGAGCCCTCCCCACTACCACTGAAAGCCAGTAGGAATTGTAGTTGCCCAGAACCTTTGAAAAATCAGGCCATGTTTATTTTGATGCATAAATATGAAGTTAGGAGCCTAAACATTTTGGCCTAAGGATTTAAAAATTATTTCTTGACATCGCCCTTTATGCTTAATTATGCAGGAGAATGACATGTGGTTCTTGGCAAATTATATGAAAAATATTATGTCAGAACAACGAGATGGTCTGAGTATAATGTTAATATGATGTTTCTACTGTGGATTTAAGAGTAAAAGCAACTTCTAAATAATACATTGTTTCGCATGTTTTAAATTGTGTTCATAAGCATAGCTGTATGCATTTTATACTGTACCTCAATTGCTTTGGGAATCTGCAAATGTTCACAAAAGAAATTTGCAAGTTCTCCCTTACTAACAGAACAAAGACTTTAATATTGGAAGACAAAAAATCAGCCAGGAGTTGTAGTTTCCAGGTTATGGGGTCAACATATTTTAACATTTCAGTACACCCCTAATAAGAGATTTCTAACCTTACAGATGAAGCAAAGGCAAACACACCCTCAATTCTTAAAACATATAAGTTTCCTAAATGAGTTCTGCTTTGGGGAGCTTTCCAACCGCTGCTAGGGCTTAATCACTACATCACTGAAATCAGTGGGTATGGGAGTTTTGCCATGGATGGCAGTGGCAGCAGGGCAATCCCTAATGCATATGCACCACCCACTGTGCATGCATATTCTGTAGTTATACTTGAATGCCACTTCTCTAGACTAAGAGGTCAAAGTACAGATGGAACTTGTCAATACAGTCAGCACAAGACAGTACAAGAGATATAATCAGGTGTAACTGAGTTCAGGCTTTACAAACGTTATCCTCTCATCTACTTTAACTAGGTCTCTATTTAATTATCTTTCTGACTTCATTAAATACAAGATATTCCCTAACCTTTCACTTCACAGGATCAGCAATTAGCCTTTTTACGATTTGTTACTTGTTCTTCCTCTGCAAAGTTTTGTTTTTCCCCCATTTTTTTTTTTTTGGTCCACTTTTATACATACCTCCTTTTCTACAAATTTTCTTGCCGGGTTTTCTGGCACATTCCTTGGATATTCTTTTGACTGAAAAATGAATAGAAGACTAGAAAATAAAATGGAGCTCCATCACAGACAGTAGGAGCATGCAACACCACTATCTAACTTAAATATGGCCTGCTTTTATTAGGTGCGGAGGATTCCCAATTTGTTGTGCCTGCACATGCAATGGATAAATGTTGATGCATCTTCCCAGAAGTCAGTGGGTGGGAATGAGAATTAGGTACCAACTTCAACCTAAAGTACACGTGCTGTGGGAGAAAGAAAATGAGCGTAGACAGGGAAAAAAAATTATATCGGAATAGATGCATACACAGAAAAAGCAGCATGCATACATGTAAAATGCTGGCATGCAAACAAGGAAAGCCATGCATGCTACCAGTACACGTGAATTAATACTGTTAAACCTTAGAATAGGAAAATAAAAAGGTCTCCTTGTTTTGTCTGCTATTAACTCACCATCCTCAGTTGGGACATATATATTTAAATAGAGGCAGTCTTCACTCTGATCTTGTACATAGGTAGAAACTACATCCAAGTTATTAGTAAACCACACAGGGAGCATGACTTCGGGCAATCTGCCTTCTATAATGTTCTGCGGACACACTGGAGCAAACTGAGTAGCATTTTTGATATCTGGCCATGGAGATGGAGGTTCAGGAGGTTGAAAGCGATGCTCTCCTACTGGTGGGGCAGCATACGGAACCCCAAGAAACTGAATAACAGGCCCCAAAATTTCATTATTAAGTTCCTTCTTAATCCCTCTTATCTTGCCAAAGTTGGTGGTCACGAGTGGGTCAATATCATCCAATTTTTGTGAGGACACAGCTGCAGCATGAAGCAAAAATCCAAGTATATAAAGAACGAAAGTGGCATCCAATCCCATGTGTAATAGACGGACCATCATCGCTCTCCATACGCAGTTCAGCCACACGGATCTTGGAAGGGCCATTGTCCCACATTAGTTGTATAGCTACAATGAAGCAATCTTATTTGTATCCACTTGTGTAAAAACAGGGCAACCGCAAGAAATGGATCAAGTTTCCTAAATATGAGCCTGTCAGAAAAATCTCAAAAGGCTTTTCACACGGCAAGTGTCTTCCATTGATTCCACACTTATTGAAGCAGCATCTTCACACAGCACTATTTATCAGACTACATCCTATTGACAATTCTGTTTTCCATAGTAGCAATATGCAGAGAGCGGCCATTTACTGCAGATTTCCCTCTTATAAATCAAATCCAATTAGCTGCAGGTCTATATCCTGGAGAAAATGAAAATAAATCATTAGTAAGAAAGAGCTAATATGGGCAGAGTGATAACTAGTTATTTTACAAGTTATTGCACACATATTAATATTTGCTAGAGCCATGTAAGTAAAATTCTACAGTAGGTAGTTTATGGGTTCCATGAAATGACGGGTGAACTACTGATTATTGGATTATTTACAGTGTCTCCTCCTTAGTTTACAGAGTTTTTCAGAAGAAACAGACCTCATAAAAATGCAGTGTTAAAATGCACATTCCTAAAAACAAACAAATTGCTTCCAGATTAAATATGTTTTACCATGACATTTTTATATGACTTAACCGGCCCAAATTCCATTTTAAACTTGTTAGCAGAGGTTGGTTTCTCAACAGACAACGGAAACCATAGATCAATTATTTTATTAAATCTCAATACACAGTAAAAGCAAGTCAGATCAGTATGCTGAATGCTAAAACAAAGTAACTTATTTCATTAAAAATAGATTACACGTACATATAAGAAACTCATTTGCCCATTTTAAAATGTAATTTATAATTCGAACATTGAAGCATCTGGAGGGAAAAAAACCCCAACTTTGTGCAATATTTTATAGGGTACAACATTAAATACTTTCTCTGATGACCTCTTACCATGAATTTATCTCTGATAGTGAATGGAAAATCAGGATGTAAGGATTTTGACACTCATTGTGGCCAGAGAAACAATCTTTACAATAATTAACTTGATTTCCAAATATTCACAATACAGGACCAGATTCTGGTCCTTCTGAAGTCAAAGCAATACTCCCACTGACTTCCAAGAAGCAGGATTGGACCTCAAAGGCTGCTTCTTTTGGAAATTATTTGAAAAAGGGAATGGACACACAAAACAAAGAGAGTTGACTGTGTATCACAATTCTCATTTATGGCCCGATTCCTTGCATATTATTGACTGCAGTGAAAAGTGTGTGTGTGCAAGGAATGCAGAATCAGTTCCCCCTACGCTTAATTTGCAATACAACCATTTAAATGCTCCCACAAGTCCTGATTTTTCAAACACCAGTATATCTACTGCACAATAGCCTAGAAAAATAATCTGTTAGGATCAGAGACTATATAATCTGGAATCCCAGATTCTATTTTCAACTCTATTTTATCACAAAGGTTGTGATACAGGGACGGTGATGCAGTAGTTTTGAAGATTGCTTAGAGCATACCATAACATCTTTCCTTTTCATGTTAATCACATTGCCAACACAATTTACAATATACTTTAATTTTAAATGCAGTATAATGTACAAAGTAACAGGATAATCTTATACTCATTGTAAAACAATGTGTAATGTACAGGAAATGAGTTTTACTTAGTACACGCCACATTTTGAAACACATTTTGAGACAGCATTGGCAGCTTTAATGAAAATTGTTTTTATCGTGTCTATACACATGGAAGAGGGAATTCAAAAGAAGAGCTTGTCTAACAGACAGACTGCCCTGCAGTTTGGCTTATTAAAAAGGAGATTGTAAAAGCTATATAGGACAGCAGGAGATTTGGTTCATGTCTAATATTCCTTTAGCTCTGAAAAATCTATCTCAGAAGGCAATAAGGAGATAGATGTAGCTTTGACAATTTCACCACTCTCTGCTAATTCTAATACCTTTTGCTGTGAAACTATATTAACATACAGAAGACAGGCTTATGCCCATCATTCTTCTGTTTCAAATTCTCAGTATTTGTTGGAAACACACAAATTTACTTGCACAAACTATTGCTGAAGGTTAATGTATGCATTTCAATTTAGCTTAATAAACATGTGAAAAATGACACCCAGACAATTGCATCTTGTGAGACTTTTGTTTTGCCACCTTTCAGATTTTGGAGACAGCAAGAAATTTCTTGACCAGGAGTAAGAACGTGGTATTTCAGAGACTGAAGAGCAGGGTCAGTGCAACCTCCGAAGTCTAAATGAGAAAGTTGCTTACTCAAAAGTTGCAATTTTGGTGGACAGTGATAGGCCAGTAAAATATTTCAAACTGCTTGTATTAAATCCATCTAGTTAAGTCTCAAAATCTTGTTTTTTCTCAGTGGTAAAGGAATGTGCTCTGCCCTCTGCCTCTCTCCTCCCAAAAATTCTGATGTTCTCTATTTAATAATAAGTACTTCACAGGAGTAGCTGTCCTAAATATGTGGTTTGGGGAATGTCTAAGGAGAAATCAAATTTAACAAAGCAGCACCAAATAATTCCTTCCTTTCTTTTTCATTTTGAGCAGCTGAGTCAGTTCAACATGGAAAATTACCAAGGTACGCTTTAAATAACAGTTCATTTAGCAGACTCCCTTCTCTTAAAGTGTCAAAGCTATTTTTCAGTTACCAAGACAAGCATTTTTTTGGTATACTCCAGTATCAAAAAAGATAAATCTAGGAACCAAAAGCAGTTGTCTTAAAAATAACATAAAATTAAATAGTCAGCAGTAGTCCCCCTAATAGTTCAGATGTCGGAGGGTTTCCCCCTCGTTATTAAACTATTTCCATAAGTGTAGAGCTGTGGTTTTAAACCATGCCATTGGATGTCATGCCCAGCAGCTAAACAGCGATAGTGTCATTCTGCCACTCACGGATAAAGCTATGATGTCATAGATCAAAAGGAGGCTGCAGTGATAAGAACATAAATCAATAATCTGTTTGGCTATTTTTATTAATTAACCCTTACTGGTTAGCAGGAGCCAGCAGAGTCAAAGGGTGTATAATCCAGTAGGTGGGAAAAGGCTTCCAGCAGCAATGTCCACACATTCCAGTATCTGCATTTATGTTTCTTTTTTAACAGGCTTTTTTTCAATAGTGAAGGGAGTTGTTTATGGAGAAGTAGTAAGAGATCTGACCTCCTCTGGATAGTCCACTTCTGGGATGGCAGAAATAGTGCATTATTTCAGCCCTATGAAAGCTACCCTCAGATACAAAGATTGTTTACCTTATTCAAGTTCTTGTGGAACTCTAACACAAAGATCTACTTGTTAGTAGTGAGGTGACCTCAAGACAGGCTGGGACTGTTGCCTGGAGCACATCTACCTGTTCTACTTAATTGTTGCCAGAAACGTTTTTTAGACCCCAGCATGTGTTCCCTGTATAGCTTTCCCCTGGTACCTGCACTGAAGCGGACTGGACAGGAACCAGTAGGGAGAAAATAAGTCTTGTGTGCGTGCATTACTATCAGAAGCAGCAATGAGCAAGCATGTGAATGAGCAGGATGGCGGGCTGGAAAGTAAGATACCTCAAATTGCTCACCACTACTGGTAATTCGCAGAGTTTAAAGACAATCATTCATGCCTGTGGCATAAGAATATACTGAGGTCTAGACTTAAAAATCATCATTGTCAGTTATCACGGAGTAAATCACCTCTAACATATAAAATTTATTCAATAAATTATTTCATGGGTTTGGGAAATTTCTGAGCATATTGAGATTTTCTATATATTGTTTTTCAAAATTATTTGATTTTTTTTCTGAATTTCATTTACTTTATGTCCCCAATCCTGACTGACAGCAGACAAGCATTCCCCATAGCTCAGGAGCCAGCATGCAAAGATGGCTTTAGGTCACATTGGTGCTCCTCATGACCTGAACAATTCTGGAACAGACCAGTCCCCCAGCATAATTTAGAGCAGCCTAACTGCTCCTCACCACTTAATTTCATGCCTGAGGGGTGCTCTAAATTGCACCAACTGCTAATAGCCTCAGTGGACTATTACAGCAACTGAGTGAGATAATAAAAGTACCTGGCTAAGTCTCCTTTCCCTTGGACACATCCTCTGTGCCAGTTATTGGAAATGGGGTGGCAGAGGAGTTGCTATGGCAGCTCTACACAACCTGGGGTAAGTTATTCCATCTTTGGGGCAGACTTGAGCTAGAGAACTAGCACACAGCTGCCCTAATGTAGCCCATAAAGTATCCCATAACTTGACCCTTTCCACAAGCATTTGTGCAACTCTTGCACAAATGTTCATGGAAAGTGAACACAAAAGGGACCTGAACACCTTCAAAGCAATTTCCTTTCAAAACTCAAACAAGTTTGCAGAGCACTGCACCATTCATCCTCCTTCTAGTGACATCCACCTCAAATTATAACTAAAAAGCAAAAACATTACTTCATGTCGACAAAAAAAAAAAGTATAAACTAATGTTAGACAAAAACAAGAATGTTATAGGCAGGATAATACACGGCACTAAAAAAAGATTATACTGCACCAGAGGGATATGCTGATTGCAAACATTATCAGGTAGGCTGAAAAGATATATTCTATTCTGGGGTTTGCTCTCTCTTTTCTAACATTTTTCATTGCTTGAAGAAAAAAGTTTTGAAACAAACGTTTCTCATTTTCTTTCTATCTGATACTAAAGTCTGAAACAAAATTCTGCTCGTGTGTACACAAGTATAGTCAATGGATTTAACTCAGAAAAGGAATTGTTCCTACATCTTTTTAAAGAAAATTACTTTCCTTCTATCCACGTGAATTTAATGCATTGAAATCTGTCAAACTGACAGCACTAGAGACTGCAGTCCTGTATATATACACCCAAGAGATGTACAACACAGGCTACAACAATGCATGCTTCCCCACACTGTCTTGCCCATGTGTCTCACCATTAGAGTACACCTGCTTTAGAAAGAAATTCAGTATCCAAACCCATTCAAATCTTTGCTCTCTGCTGAAACAGCCAACAATGGTGCCAAATGTTATGTTGGCGATTTTGATGTGGTCACCGGCCCACCAGGAACTGATCTGAGACCACAAAGGTTATTCCACACAAGTCACCCCATAACTATCAGATGGTAAGAATTTTCAGACAGGACTAGCTGTCATCAGATAGAACCCACTATTTAGAAGTGATTGGCTCCGTTCCTATATACCTATGAGCCATCCACTCCCCTTTATTTAATATTACATCTATATTTGTAAACAAAGCCATATGTTTTATTTTAGATGCATAATTAGTAAGAAATACACAATTTTATATGT